AAGGTCAAATCCATATTTTTATCATGTGGCCCCCTCCGAACCCTACAACTTTTGTTTGAAACATTTTTTTCGATAAAGCTTACTTTCCGAGATATTTTACAGTTTCAAGTTAAAAAACTCACCCTGTATATACACACATATACGTACGCACAATTTATACGTGAAATTTATTAATATAATATATCTTTTTGAAAATGAATAATGTAAAAATTTCAATATTATACTTATATCCAAGAAAATTATTATATATATATATATATATATATATATACAGGGTGATAACTGAAAGAGAGATGCGATAAAAGATAATAATTTTACATCTATCTAAACTCGAAAAAGTTCCTTATCATTCAAGTATTCAAATATATATAAATTTTTTGCTCTCTTCAATTTTTTCGTTTGCTTTCGCGCATATAAATATTTTACAGTTATTATATGTGTGTGTTATTCAATTTTTTCTCAGCTGATCGGCATCATCTTCGCGCTATGTTTGGCGAATTCGATAAGGAACGCCGAACGCAGAGGCTACAGCGTATAAAAATGGAGCATCGCGAACATCAACACCGTTTCGGGTGGGAAACTTCTTAATACGCAACAACGTTCTTATTTATCTACTACTGTCAGCGTATATTCGCCTATAAGATATGTGATAAAATATTTACGCTTTACGTACACAATAGGCTAAATTAAAATACTTTTTCTTTTTTTCAAGCAGAAAACAAGTATGGAGCAAAGTGCCTCTTTATATTTTTCGAGTCTCTTTGCGCGTCACCAATCGTAACTAAAAAGCATAAAGATAATGTATTTTCGATAAAATATTTTTTTATTTGCTAACTTTAGGAATCTAAATTTTACATTAGGAATCTAATGTAGAACTTGACGCACGATCTAGCAATGAAAGTTACCGTAAATGATTATGCTCTGAGACCAAATATTTAAAAAAATTTTTTTTATACGATTATATATTTTGATACGGTACCACTTTGACTCACATTTATACCTATTCTCGATATCAATTAGAAAAATACG